AGGCTGTCACCAGAATGCAAATGGGTCATACAAACAGAAGCAGGTCACCACAACGATCACGATCCAAGTCACAAAATAGGTCACAAATGTCCAGACAATCTGGGCAGTTTTGTTGGTACCACTGGAAGTTTGGTGTCAACTCAACCAAGTGCAGGCAACCATGCGCCTGGCCTAATCATAATTCCAAGACAGCGGGAAACAAGTAACCCCTCCCCAGGTCGCGACAACTGAGGAGGAGCGCCTAAACAGTCGCTTGTTTTATGTCAGTGACAGAAACTCTAGCTTGAATTTCTTGGTGGATACTGGCGCTGCTCTTAGCATCATCCCTCGAAATAAAACTGAGATTAGTCGAGAAACATCCCCAATTACACTTCAAGCTGCAAATAAAACTACAATCGCGACATTTGGGCAGAAAACGTTAACCCTAGATTTGGGGTTCAGAAGGCAATTCCCTTGGGTTTTCACGGTAGCCGACTTAGATCTGGCAATACTGGGGATGGACTTTCTAGAGAGATACGAATTTCTTGTGGACACCAAGAAACGGCGATTAACACTAAAAGAAACTTCGTTTTACACAAAAGGCAAAGAAAGTCACATCAGCTCTCTTAACTTGATTCAAACCCCTCCAGTAACGACAGCGAAATTCCAAGATATACTCGCAGAATTTCCAAACTTAACTAAACCAAACCCACAGCCTTCCAAAGACAAACTAAAAGTAAGTCACACTATCAAAACCGAAGGTGCACCGGTGTTTGCAAAACCCAGGAGACTAGCACCAGATAAGCTCAAAATCGCTAGGGCCGAGTTTGATTATATGCTACAACTGGGTATTATCCGTCCTTCTGATAGTCAATGGGCATCCCCTTTGCATATGGTCCCAAAGAAGAATGAAGGTGACTGGCGACCGTGCGGGGATTACAGAGCCCTCAACCGTCAAACCGTACCAGATAGATACCCAATACCGCATATCCAAGATTTTACAAACGGTTTACAGGGTATGAACATATTCACTAAAATTGACTTAGTCAGGGCATATCACAATATCCCGGTGGCTGATGAAGATATCCCTAAGACAGCTATTACAACACCCTTTGGCTTATTCGAGTTTGTACGCATGCCATTCGGCCTGAGAAACGCGGCACTTCCTCAGATATTCTTATTCCACAGTCTCACACTCTTTCTCATGAAAGCACGCAGCAAACCGTCAGCGATAGTTGTAGAAGAAATCACATGCTACAAAATAAGATGACAAGCTAGTAAATGAGGAGACATCCATGGACTATCGTTGACAGCGTTAGTTGCCACTGAATGTAAGTCAAACATTGAGCGAGCTGATAATTTTCCCTTGGGATGAGAAATAGAACTAAGGTGTTTATGATAGATAGGTTAATCGAACCGACGTTCCTACGGAAGTCGATTCTATGGGGAAGCTAATGTAACAGCATAGGTTGGTTGATTAAGAGTTGAACCCAAACAACCAAGCATATGTCAAAACAGTATTGTTCAAGTATTCATTCACTTCGTTATTTTGTATAAGCGTTATATTCCTTATTATCTTATATTGAATGTTGAAAGCTTTTGTTTGTCTGAACAGATAATCCCACGCTCCACTGTGACTGCGCTAAGATCGAAATAAAGACTAATTCAATCTTTGTCTGGCTTCTTCTATCAATAACACGAGGGTTACCTATAGGCACGAAAAACCCACGTTAAGATAAACATACCTTTCCGTTTACCCCCTGTAGATTTAAAACCGATTCGTGAAACCGGTCGTTAGAAATTTCAGGAAGAACGCTAACTTCTGAGTCAGTATAGACGGGGTCGCGAACTTTCGTTATCACACCTGTGACGTATAACAGACGGGTATGTTTGTCGGCTTCGGTTGCTGTTAACACGTGACGGCTTGGACGTTTCCCGAATTCTTTTTCGTATAGGTCGATTTTGAGTTGAGAAAATTGCAAGGTTCTCTGGAATTTCTGGAGGACTTTCTATACTGGTTATGATGCGAGCACCAATCAGGGTTATCCGTCTCTCGTGGTCTAGAGACAGATCGCTTACGTGAAGTGCTTCTTTTTGGTCGTTTGAGGCAATTCTTAGACTGAAAAACCTCGGAATTAGAAGATTTTGCGATTTTTAAAATGCGATCGGCAGATTCAGCAAGCTCGTCTAAGGTGTTGTGTTGAGACGAGACCAGCACAGCTTGCACCTGTTGAGGAAATCTGGATAAGAAAAGTTGTTGGGATAGACTATCATCGAAGGTTCTTTGGCCGATAACCTCTCTCATCATTTGCAACATGTCCGTCGAAGAACTGTGTTGTTGGTCGATGTAATTAAGGAGTTGGTCTAACATTTGTCTATCGGTTAGGTCTCTGCGTTTAAGGATAGATTGTTTCAGTGTTTCGTAGGGTTCAGAAACATCACTGATGAACATATTAGGTGTTACGCACCTGTTTAACTCGCGCGGTAGTGCTTTGGCCACTGCGCAGAATCGTGCAAGTGTATCGTTCACGCTGTGCTCGGGGAAGTCGGCTTCTGCGTGGCAGAACTAGGCTTCGATGTTGTCTGTCTAGAAGGGCATCAGCTGAACCGAAGGTGGGGACATAGTCTTAAGCTTAAGTACTTTGGGTATCTGTTCAGTCATGGTGAAATATGAAGTACGAGAATGAACGAGGGAAATATATATATATATATATATATATATATATATATATATATATATATATATATAAATATCAGGATGTACAGAAAATTAAAATAAGGTAGTGATATATAGAATCCCAAAAAGGAACTTACTCACAGTTTACTATTCGGTGCACCAGATCACGTCAGGCTCACCAATGAAGATGCCACAAGTATTCAGCGTTTGACAACGCTTTAACCAGTAACACCTAATATGAAGGGTACCCACCAAGTGAAATCAAAAAACAGAAGAGATGAAGTTCGGAGACAAATTTGATAGGCTATCAATATATCGAGGACCGTCTTATCTAATCTGGCTAGCGATTGCAGTAGATGTTGAGCACGGCGTTCCCACTAGTGATCTGGTGTGGATGCATGACCGAGCGCCTTCAGCTAGGTGAGTCTATTAAATCTAATGTGGTCAGCATCCAATGTCGAAGACTTACGGAGCTATTTATTTTGAGGATTTATTTACTGCTATAAGCCAAGAACGAGCAAAGTACCCTTGGTATACAGGTTTTCACATCGCGTCATCAGTTCTTGGAATCTGTTACTCAAAGTGGAGGTGCTCGCACCTTCACTTGGTTCATTCAAGAGAAGACTAGACACTCACAGAAGCTTACTGGAAAAGAAATAACATAGGCCATAGACCTTCTGTTTTTACTACACAAATCTTAATCTACGTTTATCGTAAAAAATACTTGCCCCACTCACATCGAGATACCAACCATTGAATCTGTATAGCTGACTGAGGAAACTGTCCTTCCGTTGATAACTAACCTCAAACCTAGTAAGATACTGGGCCCTGACGGGTTACATCCACGGTTGCTGTCATCTCTTGCGGACACTATTTCAAAACCGCTCGCGACACTCTTCAACATGTCCCTTTCACTCGTTCAACTCCCTAGAGATTGGAAGGACGCCATAGTCAGTGCTAAATTTAAAGGCGGTTAGAGACAGATCGTATCTAACTACCGGCCTGTTAGTCTAACTAGCATAGTCGTTAATTCACTTTAAAAGATAATTCGGGTTAGGTTGCTAAGCCAAATAGATTTACACAATCTGTTAGCAACACGGATTTCGTAACAAGCGTTCATGCTTGACTAACTTGCTTATTGCGAGGGAGGATTGGACAGCAGCCCTAGATAACGGTCTGTCTGTCGATGTGATATTCATAGACTTTAGCAAAGCATTTGACAAGGTTTCACACTTAAGTCTTATGCAGAAACTCACGAGCTTCGGAATAATAGGTACTGTACATGAGTGGTTAGGAAACTTTTTATGTGACCGCAAACAGAAAGTGAGGGTCAACGGAACGCTACTCGATTGGAAGCCGGTCAAAAGTGGTGTACCCCAAGGCACCATATTAGGCCCTCTGTTCTTCCTTCTCTACGTTAATGAGTTACCGCTGTTACTTAGGTCGTCGACATTATTGTTTGCGGATGATGCAAAAATCTGGAGAACAATAAAACGTGCGGCTGATCATATGGATCTTCAAGCTGACTTAGACGATTTAGTTAGATGGGCTCGAGAGTGAGGCTTAAAAATCAATGCTATGAAGAGTGTGCTAATGCACATCGGTCACGGAAAGTTACCGTTACACTATTGAGGGTAAACCTCTTACATGCGTTCAAGAGCATAAAGACTTAGGAGTAGTATTAAGTAATGATTTAAAAACAACTATGCATTGCAAAGCAGCCGCTGTCAGAGGTTTTCGTGCGTTATGGTCACTTCGCCGAGCGTTCAAATCTTTTGACGAGGAAACGTTTCGAATTTTACATCCCACCTATGTAAGACCACACTTAGAGTACTGTATCCAAGCAGTTAGCCCTTGTCTGGTAAAGGATACTAACTCCCTTGAGCGTGTCCAGCGAGTGGCAACGAAATTGGTGAAGGGTCTTTCTAGACTCTTTTACGATGAGCGTTTAAAACGCCTAAATCTTTTCCTTTTGTCGTATCGTAGGAAACGTGGTGACCTTATACTGGCATTTCGTATCTTTACTTATAATTTGGGTGGTAATATGTCTTATCTTTTTGCTCCCTCCAGCACTAACAATCTCCGAGGTCATAACAAGAAGGTTCATAAACCACGATCTAATAAACTTAAAGTGGGGTCCCGTTTTTCTCATCGAGTAGTCAATGATTGGAACGCCTTACCCGAACAAGTGGTATCAGCCCCATCAATGAATACTTTCAAGGAGAAGCTGGGACTTCACTGGAAAGCAATGTGTCAGGATTAATACAGGTTCACCAACCTACTATCCTTATTACTGAAGACTGAAGACTGCTTCATAGATATTGGGTACTGAACACTCGTAATTACAAGGTCAGTTTGAGGGACCCTCGTTTTTTGTACCTTTTGGATATCGGTTATGTCCTGTAAAACACGTTATTAGAAAGCTTGCTTATATTTGACTTTTTGTTTGGAAGATCGCATTGCACCTGTGCCTCTTCATTTCATTCGTTTTATATGATCTCTTATTGAGCCTGGTCACTCAATCGAATTCGATCTCAAGATATCTGAAAAAAATTAACACTTGTTCTTCTCTTTCAGATTTTTTATTGCCTAGTTGGTAGCTGCTCTCTGAGTAATTCACTCGTATTTCCCATACGACGTATTTGCTAATATAGCTTGACTAGCAACTCGGAATTACATTAGTAGGATGACGGGGACCGACGAGGAATTGAAGGAAGCTGCTGAAATGGATCACCATCATTTCGTCAAAACTCTGTCGGCTTTTAGGTTTTTTGGGTATGATTTGATGCACATATTTCACAATTGTATGCAGTCCACATCTTCTTAAAAGAGTCGAACGCTCGCGAGCTTATTATTACTCGTTACCGTCTACTCACCATAAACTTATTCGTGAATTTGATGATAACCTCAAAAAGGTTGAGGAATGCATCCTGCACAACAATGATTTAATAACCAGCATTATTAAGCATTCCGCTCCAGATATTTTCAACGGGGAACATGTAGGTTGACTGTGATTGACGTTAATCTTATGTTATCAAGGCTTGTGAGTTGAATGGGACAGTTGGTTCATCAAACGGAACAAATTTGGATGGCAGTCACGCGGTCGGTCCCCGGGAAAAAATTGGTCCTTTTGCATTTACAAATACAGAAATGGACAAAGTTCGGTCAGCTTTAAAACAATTTGTAAGAGATTGGTCGGTTGAAGGAAAACCGGAGCGAGATATATGTTACCAATTTGTACTTAATGATGTTTTAGAACTGTTTAACCCGAAGAAAGTGTAAGTTTGTAACCAACAATCATGTTTTTAATTGTGATTTTAAGTAATTATAAGCTTTCAAACCATAGTTTCAAAGTGAAAGATTTGAATTTTATTTCAGTGCGAAAATCTTGTTAAGTATATTGATGTGACCTTATTTTCGCCAACTACAGTTCATTGCAAATATTTCAAGTTCCCTCTAGTCGGTGAATGTAGCTAATCGCAGAAATAACTTAACTATGTTTGTTAGACTTGTAGAACGTAGAATGTAGGGCACTAGTAAATAATTACAAACATCTGTTACGTTCAAAGGTCGATAATCATGAGGTGCCATATTTTTCAGGTAAAACATTAGCAAAAAATGATAGGAATAATTTAAACATTATTTTCAAGTCATGCTTTTACCAAACATTTGATATAAATCTACATCAAATCGATCAGCTATCGAGATGGGCTTAACCCATGCTCATAGTAAATCGACAGATTCTGCGCTTTTCCAATAGGGTATAATGGAATCCATGCCCATTTTACTAGCCAACTGTTTTAGTGACCATCTTGTGTAATTTGTTTCTTACTATCACTGCTGGTATTTTTCAGCGTTGGAGATTGAGTCATATGTACAATGAATTTTGTTGCTCTATGTCCAGTAATGTAGGCTGCAGTGCACCAATTAAAGTACGGCTTTCAACCAACCATTCTCAGATTCGAACCCGGCGTCACCCAATAGTTCAAATACCCGATTGGTATTATAAGTCTCTGCGTAAATTGTGTGGCTCAAGACCGAGCACATAAGCCAGTACATGTTGATTTGGCTACGTTATTGTTAACCGCCCAGGTTTTTAGAACGAATCTCTCAATCCTAAAGAACTAGTTTTCACGATGATAGAACGGCCAATTTTGTTCATTTAGAGGTCTTTAACGTTTTCAAGTTACAAATACAGCGTGGTTTAGTGAATTATTTACACATAGTGTTTATTTACTAACTAGTTTCTCTCGGTTTATCCAATTTTCTTACTAAAGCCGTCATTCTACCTGCGGGAGTAGTGAACATGGTTAGTTTTGGTTATAAACAGAACTATACCACACTGTTTCCATTGTTTTAGAAATCCTGCGAATGTTAACATCCTAGTCCCAGGGGCTGGCCTTGGTCGATTGGCTTGGGAACTTGCTCATCTTGGCTACACATGCCAAGGAAATGAATGGAGCTTGTACATGCTTATTCCAGCTTATTTTATTCTAAACACGTATGTTGTTAAGCATATATTTATTTTGATCAGCATTATTTTATTTCATAATTTATTGCAAAATAACATCTCACAGTCGAATGTATAAGATAGTATAAGGTTAGTCGGTCTAAATGTTTGTTAGTAAATGTAATGACACCTGATAATTTGAATATTTTCTTCAAATTCTGATCTTATTATTTAGTTTTATTAAAAAATTAGGTGAGATCATATTATACCATCTGTGTGAATGGAAGTGGATAGTTGATCAGACTTAAATTCTAATTTATTATTCAAGGACTTTCAACATTGCAATTTAGCATATTTTATGCTGTCCAGGAGGCTGATAATCTCATTTTTATAAACGAAGTAGACGGAAGATTCCCATCATCCCTAGTCCCTTTCCAACTCCATTATTCCTTATTTCCAGTAATGATTATTATTTTACGTTTATCTATTTTCGTAATAATCATTAACGTTTCTGTTTCGAAATTCACTGCTAAATTCTCAAGGTGGTTGTTTTAAAGGTTGAAGTCCTCGATCTTCACTTACAAAGCGTATTTCAGTATCCAAAATCAGGATTGCAACTTAGGAATGTGTCCTGTGTTTGCAACACACTGATGCAAAGTCTAAGTGTAATTATTGTAACTAGTTAATCACAACCTACTAAAGGAGTTTTCCGAAAAGTTAGTTATCTGTTTCACGGACTAAGTCCATTTGACGACAACGGAAAATCTAAGAGCAAAATGTCACATTTTTAAAAATTAATTCCTAGTTATTCTACTGTTCAGTAAAACAATAGTAGATATTTGAAGCTGTAGCGCGATTGTCCACTTCTTACTCTCTACTCATATAATCCTTGGCTGTATTTCAGATGAAATTCACTGTGTTTTCCAACTAACCATGCTATACCTAATCGAAAATGTCAAACATACAAATGTAGTCACTGACTTGAAATGTTAGCTGAGGGGTGATTGCTTTTGTTAATGTTCAAGACAATCAGCTTTCGACCGAATAGTTATAAGTTTAAACCTCGGCACCTGGTTGCATCACGTATTATAGGTCGTCCTACGCTAAAAATGGTGTAACTTAAAACCAAATGTATGTAAACCTTTATTAGCTATGCTTAAATCATATGATTCAATATTCATAAATAGTGAACGTCGAGCCAAATACAAAGGGGCATTTGAAGGTTTCTTTCGAAAATTTGACTCTACAAATCAATATCTCTGATATTCCTCCAATTTTAGTGTGTAGTAGCTAGTTTTAAGGCTTAATTGAGTGGTCTACTCAGTATGTGATTGTTAAGATAGTGATTAGAATACTTACCAATGGATCGTGTGAAACGATATTATTTTTGCTGATTAATGACTCACCATACTGAATTACTAACACAAGCCTGCAAACTGTTGAGCAGAATAAGTTTCCTTATGTAGTATAATGTCCTGGTACGGCCGAAAGTGGGGAGAGTCATCTCTCCCACTCGCAATGCTCTCAAGTGGTCACGTTCATACAACTACTTCCAGGGAAGTCTTACTCATTGCCTTCCCGCAGCATTACTGTTTTTTACGAAATTGAGAGGACGCAAAGCGAATGTCCAGCACCTTGACAGGGTTAATGGACACGGAGAGTCCACCTATAGGAGTTGGAAAACCCTCATTCCAAACTGATCATGCACATGGGCTCCATGGTCCTGAAGGAGCGAATGGCGTATGAACCAATCGTTGTTCACCGACTACCATGGGACTGCATTTTCTGACGTTGCTCCACTGCTTTATGGATTAGACCTTTATGTCGAAGGCTCAGGGTGTGGCCTCCTAAGAAAATCACCTGTTTCGGTTTAGGCACCCGGGCAGTATCTTAGCTTTCACACAAATCGAATGATTTATGTGGTGCATATCTATTTTGTGCCTCCTTGTACCAATGTTTATATGGTTAAATAAAATAAATAAATAACCTACTGCTTCTGGTTTCACATTGTCTACGGATTACTAAGTGGTCTTTGTATTTGCAAACTTTCATATTGATTTTCCTACATTTTCAGATGCAAACAAGTTAATGAGTATAAATTGTATCCATGGGTCGGTCAATTTTGTAATAATATGTCACGTGAAGATCAAATAACCCCGGTTCATTTCCCTGATGTATGTCCAGCAGATTTACCTGCTAATGTTCAATTTTCTATGGCAGCTGGAGATTTCGTTGAAATTTATACTGATCCAAGTATGTGCGTTTTTGTTTGTTTGTGTATACTGGTACATTAAATTGCTCTAATTATAATTGTCCTTCTTTACAAAAGTAAACAAAAGAAGAAACAACACTGATACCAGAATATAATAAATTTATTCTAGTTCGTTGCTTTCCCTTCAGTTACATACAGGTTGATATACTTAGTTATTTCGAATTATCAACATAGTTTACGAAACAGCACGAAACCTATGTCAAGGGTTTCTTATTGACTACTTTCAACCACTATCTTATCTCAACATAGTGCACGCAATATCGAGTCTCCTAGAGTAGTGGCCACATTGCAAATTGATCGATAGAATTTGATCTGCACTAAGAAGGACCTGATACACATGACATTGATCACTATCTTGTGTTCAGTCAACTATAGACAGCATAGTTTACAATTTGAAAAAAGGAATTGTTCATAAAGAGTATCTTGTTCGGAATATAAATGAAATTGTAATTTAAGTTTATAATAGGGTTTTTGTGAATGTTTAGAGTGATTATTCTAGAAATTTATTACTTTAGAAAATTAACATCTTAAGTCGATACTTTTGGTAGTATTGTGTTTTCTGAGGCATATGGTTTAATTGTGGGTTCTTTATTGTCATTCTGGACAACATCAGCGCCTAATTCATATGTAGTTATTCCACATGTGTTTTGTTAATCTGTCATGACAGTCTTGTTTGTGATTGATAGTTTTCTTAGATTTTATTGTCTTCATTTGTCCTTTCATTCATGTTAGCTGTTCTGTTCGGTTACCGTTTAACCTTATGATTTATTAATCTCTCCCGTATAGGTTAATGTATTAGATTTGTATCGATGCGTTTATTGACTGCTCATTGGTTTGAATGTCATGCTTCGATGAAATGTATATCCAAGGTTATTCACGTACAGTGATATCAATGATTATATATCATTTTGATGGTGTTTCAATTCTTTAGTTACCTTTTGATGAAGTTGCCGAGTAGCCATTCTTACGGAAGACGGATAAAGGATGAATGTTTTTCAATTTTTTGTGTACCAAGAGTATTTCATTGGGTTTTTGCCCTTCTGAATAGTGTGTGTTTAATAACCTCTTTATGTTTTGTTGCATTGTTACCGTTGTAGGTTAACATTTGACCTTTGAAGTCCAGCTTCCTGTACCACTTGTGTTAGAAAATATTTAAGATAGTATCTCTCACGTCACATAACAAAATATGGAACGTTAAGGAAGGTGACATTTGAGTCGAACTTATTAAAATATGATTATAATTAACGGGAAAGTATTAGAAATGCTCAAACTATTTCTTTTATCAAGTCAGATAAAGGTTACAAACCACCGACTCTGACTGTGAAACGTGGCCTTTTGAAAATAGAGTATATTCATGGGTTACTGGTATTCATTCTTACGTGTCTTCGAATAAATTCTTTGGAACATCAAGTTAGAAATTCTAAGGTTATACGCATAGTACTACGTTGGTATGACAAACCGATTGACGATTTAGTGGATCATTATCGACTGAGGTACCTAGGACATGTATTACATATGGTCATCCACCGACTACCTCGACGGGCAATGATGACTGGTGTAGAAGTTGGTTGCAGGGAAAATAGGGGCGGCCAAACCAAGATGTAGAATCAGTCTATGGAGTCAGTGACTGTTGGACTAAGACATATAGGTAGGTGGAGACCACCTGACTGGGGTTCGTGTGATTATCATAGCCAATGCTTAGAGAGTGAGTGACATGGCTCAGAGTCGTTCACTGTAGCTTAGGTGCGTTCACACTTTCTTTTCCCTTAAACCCCAAGTATTAAACTCTACAAATACTTTTTATTTCACTAAATTTATATTTTCTCGAATAGTGTGTTCGATGTCTAATCTTTTCTGTTGTCACTTCTACTACTTTTGGATTTGCCGTGACAGTGTTATCTTAATGTTTTAATAGGGTACGTCAACTCGAATGAATGTACACATGTGCTAGGTTCTGTATTGTATTTCACTGACTAAGTATTCTTTAACGCTGACCTCAAACAGTTACAAAAACCCCTCTTATAACTTTAAATTCTAGTTTAATTTATATTTCAAATAAATTACTCTTTATGAACAGTTCTTTCTTTTAAATTGCAAGTTATTTTGATCATTCAAAATGACTAAACATATTCACTTTTATGTAGTTGAAAGGAAAACAACAAACTATAATCAATTTTTTTATCCTCTATTCAATATCCCTGTTGTTTTTTGTTTGAAAAACTTCTATATCATCTGTCGTTAGTTTGTGTTGTATTGTACAGTGATGATCTCACTTTCGATGATAAGTGGTATAGGTATTACATGCTGGTTTTTATTCGTTTAGTAAAATCCATTTTCTTAACTGTCTCTTTAAACAGAATTGGCATAGCACTGATAAGTTGGATGGTGATTAACTAAGTTTCATAAAAAAGGGCACCTCTTCTAGAAACCAGTCAAGAACCATACACTGTCTTAATCTTTTAAACTGACTTCATTCGAATTTTGAATTATTTAACGAACATTTTATTTCTAAGTGTTTATAAATTTGTTTAAATACATAAACATTGGTACAAGGAGGCACAAAATAGATATGCACCACATAAATCATTCGATTTGTGTGAAAGCTAAGATACTGCCCGGGTGCCTAAACCGAAACAGGTGATTTTCTTAGGAGGCCACACCCTGAGCCTTCGACATAAAGGTCTAATCCATAAAGCAGTGGAGCAACGTCAGAAAATGCAGTCCCATGGTAGTCGGTGAACAACGATTGGTTCATACGCCATTCGCTCCTTCAGGACCATGGAGCCCATGTGCATGATCAGTTTGGAATGAGGGTTTTCCAACTCCTATAGGTGGACTCTCCGTGTCCATTAACCCTGTCAAGGTGCTGGACATTCGCTTTGCGTCCTCTCAATTTCGTAAAAAACAGTAATGCTGCGGGAAGGCAATGAGTATGACTTCCCTGGCAGTTGTACGTACGTGGCCATGTGAGAACATTTTGAGAGGGAGAGCTGACTGTCCCTACTTTCAGTAGTACGAAGGCATTTGTTGGCTTTGTTTCTAAATCAGTAAAATAAGTTTTATTCTACAATATCATTGTGAGAACAATTTTTCTACCCCCCGTCCTTCTTTCCACTTCATTTTGAAATCATTAATGCTAATTGGTTTTGTGCTTATTTTATTTTTCCTTATTTAAACACAGATACATGGGATTGTATAGCCACTGTGTTTTTTATTGACACAGCACATAATATTCTTAGTTATTTGGATACAATTTGGCGTATACTTAAACCTGGCGGTTATTGGATCAATTTTGGTATGTATAAGTTAGTGCTTTACAAAGATATTTATTTATTAGATATACAAGTTTTTATATAATCAGTTGGCTTTTAACGACACATGTGTGTTTGCTGGAAAGCCTAATGATTCTACCCAACATCCCCTTAAAATTTTATAAGTACGGTATGGTACCGGTCTGGGAACATATGATTATTGGTTAATCGAGTTATTATTATTGTAAAACAATTAGTCCCTTTGATAAATTTTGATAATGATATTATTATTTTACCAATTTTGGTATTGTTTAGTCCGCTCTCTGTACTTATTGAATTTCTAGTTTGAAGAAGTTTGACCAATAGTCTAAGTGACCTAATATGGTTCGTGTTATTTCTTTGTTACTAAGTGCTTAGAGACAATCAAAACAAGAGGCTTTGAATAATTCACATTTCATCTTGAATTATCTTTTTGTAGCACAGATGCATATGATCTTTGTGTTCTTCCGAATTCTAATTTTCTGAATTGTTCGTGTTCTTTTTTTCTCTTTTCAAATTTATTTCATTGGATTATACTCCTTGAATAACCTCTTCAAACCCTAATCTTACCGGTTTTTTCCTTATACTTTTACTACCTCTATCACTATGGGATTTGAATCGACAATTGTATCTGTGTGCTAATGTGGTGTGGTAACTCGAACTGGTGTACGTACGTACGAAGTTCTACGTTGTTGCTGACTGACTGGTATTTTTTTTGTAAATTTGACCAGTCAGAAATACCTGTTATTTGATATATATTGTCTGTCATTAAAAAAATGTAGAACCTGGTGCAAGTAATCTTTAGCCATATTTTCTATTTTTCTTTTCACCACAGTGATTAGGAACCGCTAACATTTTAAGTATAGGAGAATGAATGATTGTATCAGTTATAGTAGAATTATAAAATATATAATTATGAAATAATGAATGAGGTTGACGAATGAAAGTTAGTTATGGAATGCTATTAAATTCAACGTTAAGAATCGCATAGACGGTGAATCGTACGTGTAACACTACGAAACCCATCCTAAATCATTCTATTTAAAGCCTGTAACTCGTGATTTACAGTTGTGGTGCACATAGATCTCAAACTGAAAGTGAATAACCTCTTCTAACATGTTCAGCATTACAATTCGGGTTTGATTATGACTGATCATACGTAATTTGTCCTAATCACTTCAGTTGTTGAAGCTCCACAGGCAGTTTCCTGCCTTTACTGAGTAACTTACACAGATAAGCAACTCAACTAAGCAAATATTCTATTAACTTTAATACATGTGGATAGCAAAGCAGACTGTAAGGGTTGTATACCTAGTTAATCTATTATAAACTGATTAAATTCCATGTTATATCTGTTATGTTATCCTTCAATGAAATGCTCTTATAGTTGGCCACATATGTCGTTTTGAATATATAGTTTTAATAATGTCCAACAATTTGAGTTCTATTAGCTGAAAACTGGATAGTACCATTAACTTTCATGCTCAAGTACTTGGTGAATGAGCATTTTTTATGTGTTGATTATCACTGATTATCACCATTACACGCGTCTGGAAAGTTATAAATAAAACGAAATGCCTCGTGCTCTAAATTTCACTACTAATTTCAAACATTATCGAGGTACATGCCGAAGGTTAGTTTGTATGTCAACTAAAAGTGATTAAATTTAGCTCTGAATATTAACGATAGAAAAATATAAACCCTTACTATAATAAAACATAGGCAAATATACTTGACCAGATTTGCAGGTTGCATTTGTTACAGATTAATGTCAGCTGTAGTTTCATTTAAAGCCATGGAACATTGAAGACATTTCGTCCTAGTAACGAAATTTCTCAATAGTCCCCATCTTCACTGATTAAATCCAAGACCAGGCCTAGCAGAGAATCCCTTCAATTACATTAGATGATCATCACTTTATTTCACAAATTGATCAAAGTTTGGATCATACAATTAGACGTTGATCCATTGGTTCTAGTGTTTAGAGATTTGCCGCATGACGTAAAGATTTTGAATTCAACTCCATTTGTGGGGTCACAAGTTCACACATGTGAGCAGTTTGATACTAGAACAAAACACCTGTTTTATTTCTTGTAGTTTTTAGTGATACTCCACAATCAGTGATAAATACAATCTATAGGTTAAACAACTCCCACAAAACCTGTTCAACCAGAATTTAAGCTAGGTTGTTTGTAATAAGGACTAGTGACATTGATAAGGTCTTTCGAACTTTACTATGTTTGAAGAGATTGTAAGATCCTCTAAAATCGGCAAACGGAATGAAGGATCAGCAACATGACAACAAGATAAGCTGAATTATTCACTGTACCCCGGCCCTGACAACTAGAAGGAGAAGACCAGAATCACCCGAGGGGAAAGCATATTCCACAAGCAGTTGGAAACACGAACGAACAGGCACACAACTCAAACACATATATGAGTATAAAAATGTCATTGGGGAATATCATGAAATAGCGTACTAAAAGTGGGAACAGACCAATGACATTTTAAGTCCTTCCAAGTGGGAAATACAAAATAAAGGTAAGTGAGCTCTTTTTGGCACAAAAATTGAAAGTTTAAATTTCCGAGATCGAGTATCCTCGAGAAACTTAATTAGTTTAGAGCTAAACTTTTTGAATTTACAATTTACTTGTTGACTAAATTGTCAGTTCTTTGCATATACTAATGTGGTGTGAGCTACTTATATCCGCATAAGTAGTATATAAAGATGGTCAGGCATAGAATGTATTTCAGTAGAAGATCAAGAAGGAAAGAACGGGAACGGAGAGCAATTAGTATGAAAATGCATAAACAATGAAATCTGGGGCGATGAAATGAGATTTGAGAATTAACTATTTACTATTTTGCAATGGCGCAGGTGCATCCATTCTTTGTGTCCTCTTAAGTTCTAATCTCCTGAATCCTCCTTGTCTCTTTTTTCTCTTTCCAAATTTATTTCACTGGATTATACTTTTTAAATAACATCTTCAACCGCTAATGTTTCTGATTACTGCTTATACTCTTACCACCTCTACCACTACGGGATTTAAATGGACAAGTGCATCTCTGTGCTAATGTGGTGTGGCAACTCGAACTGATGTACGTACGTACGGAGTTCTACGTTGTTACTGACTGATTTACTGTATGGTTCTCAGATTTTAGTGAGATGTTTTGTATTTTTATGCTCAAATACATTCGGTTGTCCTCACTTATGTGTCTTGTTCACTACAATAGCAATCATGAATATTGTGAACAGTACATACCTATGTTTTTCTGTAATCATTCCATGTAATTCCTTGTTTTTGTATAATATTTGTATCATTTTATATTTTAGGTCCATTATTATATCATTTCTCTGATATACCTGGTGAAGATTCTTTAGAATTAAGTTATACAGAACTTCGTTTAGCTATTAAACGATTAGGTTTTGAAATTGTGGTAAGATATAATTTAGTTTTTATAATGATGTAATAATATAATTATAACTAAGTTGATTGGTTTTTGTGATTTTTTTTTCGATATTTATATGTAACGATTCATTATGTTTGTTATAGTTAACATCGCAGACTAACTAGTCAGACAGTTATTGAAAAGCAGGAAATATTGGACAATTATTTGGTTCAACTGTGGAATGCCTCAGCAATGAGGATTCATGACTATGTCAGGAATCAAACCTAAAACTGTTAGGCCTCACTTCAAGCGCTTAACTTTAAGGTAGCCGTATAAGCCATTGAATGGTAACTTAGTGGTCGGGAGATTAATTTCTCTCTCTCGCGCGCGCTTGGTCTTATGATCCTGGATTCAATCCCTAAAGAGATAACTGTCCAATACCATTTGGTTTCTCATGGTTGCCTAACATTAGTCTGTGATATAAAATTACAAGATTCTGCAATCTCCACAATCATCCTATACTAATATTCATCATGTGTAGAATATTTTTTTGAAATATGTAAGTTATTTCAGTGCATCGGAAAGCTGACAAACTGTCATTAGGTTTATTTCGTTTAAATTTCCAGTCGCAATCAAATGAGCGAAAACATATTATTATTTAACATTCTCCGAAGTGTTAGTCATTTTCACGTTCGAGTTTTTTTCACATTTGTGCACCGTGTTACATCCCTCAAATTCCCTCGTACGGCCGAGAGTGGGAAGAGTCAGCTCTCCCACTCGAAATGCTCTCAAGTGGACATGTATATACAACCACTGCCAGGGAAGTCTTACTCACTGCCTTCTCTTGGCACCGGTGTTGTTTACAAAATTGAGAGGACGAAAAGCGAATATCAACTCTGGAATGCAGGACATGCAGTTGATGAGTTCCAAATAGACCGAAATGCGCGTCAAACTGGATTCCTCTGCTAGCCACTATCCATCTTCGCTTAAAAAGCTTGTGATCTAAGACTATATCGAGGCAATCTGCAGATGATGCCAACATGAGACTCATCAATTTCAGTCCTAAAAACATCAATGGGAAAATACAAGTCAAAGAACATCAAGTGAATTTAAACCTCACCTTATTGCACAAGCAGGTGGCTATCAAGACTCAGTAGCTAAGTGGATAACGCGTTGGCATCTAAAGCAAACGGCACTAGATTTGAGTCCTAGAGTGAACATCAACTCTAGGATACAGGTAAATCTAGTTGTCGAGTCTCATGTAGGACGAAACGCACATCCTCCTTTCCACTGCTAGCTACTATCCATCTTTGTTTATAATAATGTTTATTCTGTTTTAATAACCATTATCTTTTTTTCTTTAAAATTATTGTGTTATAAAATTTAGCGTGAAAAATCTAATATTCAATGTGGTTATACACAAAATTCATCATCAATGCTATCATATAATTATAATTGTGTATATGGTTTATTTCGTAAACCATTCATAACAACAATATCACCGACAACTGAAACTACTGTAACCAAATTAATGTCAACATTGAATACCACTACTTCAACTCTCAATGATATGGAATAATAGTAATAGAAACACAATTTTATGTAATAAACCCTGCCAATCAAACATTCTTATTATAAGCAAATGATTGTTTTGATGTTCATTTCAAAGTGTTCAAGATTTGATAATAAAAATTTATTATTTTTTTTTAGGTTTTTTAACTTTACAATCGTTCTTCTTTTTTTCTTTCAAAATGGTATTACATAATTCATTGAATCCAGTTAATGCATTGTATTCTTATCTGAATTAATGAATATTCAATACAGTATATGAAAGTGTTGTAGTGCCTTTGTTTAAATGATTAGACTGTCGTCTATTTGAACAACAACAATTAATTACCAATCAACTTTGATCCATGTAATTTAATTGTAAAGTATATATACAAATATATAGGATTGTTCTTATCTTTACATCATGATCGCTTATTGAAAATAATGTTCAGTTATAAAATATAATATGAATACGTTGTCAGGTATAAGGTTGTGAGGATCACGCGAGCAGGATCGTGGATGCACATTATTGAGAAATCCTACAATAGGATAAAAATGGCCGTACAGAGCTTTTAGGTTTTCAATAGTGATCTAACATCAATTGATTTATGATCTCAATTGAATATGTTGTCAACATTAAACAAACTTCTTGAATAATATGCGATTAAAATATAAAATAACAATAAATGAAATATTAAATGCAGGTATAACAAGGACGTGATAACAGTTATTAAGAAAATTGAATACTCTAAACTAAAAAAGGATAATCATTGATATAAATTCGCAAAATAATTTAAAGCATAATATATTATCAAAAAATAAAACAACGAAAATAATGAATGTGAGCCAGAAGCAATTTTGATAGACAAGATTTAACTACAGGCAGATGTTGAGGTGTGGAGAGAGTGATAGTGAGTTGCTTGTCTGTCCGAAATACCTGGAAGCAGAATGAGGTCGGTGTGGCTTTCTGTGTAGTGCACATGTAGTCCCCCAATGCACACACAATCGCCTCATCACCATTTGTGCATACATGCTTGCAAACATGATTGTGCACATGATCGACCCATTCACTGAACGTCACTCAGCATCCTGTCTGTTCACTCGAGTCAGTCACGATCCACATGTCAGTCTGTTCGTCTTTTGAAATATCCTTTCAATTGTCGTCAATTTGTCAATCCGAGAGAAGATATCTGAATCGCAAGCACTTTCAACGTGCTTGTGTGATTGGATGGGAGAGGATGAGAGAATGCACACGTGAGTGGGAGGTGGAGAGAATGAATGAAGCAATTTGTGTTTGTCTCCATCTGAGATTGTGATGTGACATGTGGTTATTTCTGAGTGAGTACACGGTGTTTGGTGAAATGTGATGTTGAGAGTTGAGGTGGTGGTGTTTGGAGGAGGTGTAAGATGATGATGATGATGCGGAGTAGGAGTAGGAGAGTAGTTGATGACTGATTAGTTGATTTTGAAGGAATCCTAATGAAGTTTGATTGGTGCATCAGTTGGGTGATCTGTCGGAGTGGGTAGACGAACGTGTGTTTATGCTGTGATACGAGTCGGCCACACTGTTGTGTCGTGTCGTTTCGGACAGTCGATGTTGAGGTGTGGAGACAATGATGGCGAGTTGTTTGTCTGTCCGAACTAGGTGGTAGCAGAGTGTGTCGGTTTGAGTGTGGTCGGATGTGTGTGTGTGTGTGTGCGTGCATGCGTGTGTATGGCGGAACTCACTGGTTGATGTCTGTGCGTGAGTGATGGGGTTGGTGGTGGTGATTTCAAAACCGCCTGCGACCGCCGGGAGTCGAACCCGGATCGACTGCTTGGAAGGCAGCCATGATAACCGCTACACCACGGTCGCGACAATTGCTGTGCCTCACACTGAATCCGCAACTACAACAACAGACACGCAATCACAAACAAATCATGCATGCACGCACGCACTACATCATTCACTCCGAAAACAATCGCCAACCCTACCTCTCCAACTGTGTCCGGTCATCTCCGACTGTCTCCAACTAACTGTCCCACAGCACGGACAGACACCACCACCTACAACGTGCCAACATCACCAATGTCGTCAACACTCTGCACTATATGTGTCCATCTGAAATACACCACATCACAACATTGCCTGACCAAACTACACAAAACACAATGTTCACGTGCACTCTCTCCATCGACGCCAACACGTGAATTATCCGGTCAGAGGCATTCTATTGGACGAGCAATCGAGGTGAAAATATCTACAGATGAATGTCACAATAATCGGCAAGACATGTGAGTGGTGATCGGACGGAAACTCGCTGTTCATCTGCCGCATCGTCAACAAAGCACAGTATCGAATTGAGAAGCACACTCACTATCGTTGTGAGCAATCACACAATCAGTCAGTTCTATCCTCACCTGTCTTACACACTGGTTCATGTGTACCGCTTCACATAGGTCCCGGTGTGGCTTTGTGTGTAGTGCACATGTAGTCCCCCAATGCACACACAATCGCCTCATCACCATTTGTGCATACATGCTTGCAAACATGATTGTGCACATGATCGACCCATTCACTGAACGTCACTCAGCATCCTGTCTGTTCACTCGAGTCAGTCACGATCCACATGTCAGTCTGTTCGTCTTTTGAAATATCCTTTCAATTGTCGTCAACTTGTCAATCCGAGAGAAGATATCTGAATCGCAAGCACTTTCAACGTGCTTGTGTGATTGGATGGGAGAGGATGAGAGAATGCACACGTGAGTGGGAGGTGGAGAGAATGAATGAAGCAATTTGTGTTTGTCTCCATCTGAGATTGTGATGTGACATGTGGTTATTTCTGAGTGAGTACACGGTGTTTGGTGAAATGTGATGTTGAGAGTTGAGGTGGTGGTGTTTGGAGGAGGTGTAAGATGATGATGATGATGCGGAGTAGGAGTAGGAGAGTAGTTGATGACTGATTAGTTGATTTTGAAGGAATCCTAATGAAGTTTGATTGGTGCATCAGTTGGGTGATCTGTCGGAGTGGGTAGACGAACGTGTGTTTATGCTGTGATACGAGTCGGCCACACTGTTGTGTCGTGTCGTTTCGGACAGTCGATGTTGAGGTGTGGAGACAATGATGGCGAGTTGTTTGTCTGTCCGAACTAGGTGGTAGCAGAGTGTGTCGGTTTGAGTGTGGTCGGATGTGTGTGTGTGTGTGTGTGCGTGCATGCGTGTGTATGGCGGAACTCACTGGTTGATGTCTGTGCGTGAGTAATGGGGTTGGTGGTGGTGATTTCAAAACCGCCTGCGACCGCCGGGAGTCGAACCCGGATCGACTGCTTGGAAGGCAGCCATGACAACCGCTACACCACGGTCGCGACAATTGCTGTGCCTCACACTGAATCCGCAACTACAACAACAGACACGCAATCACAAACAAATCATGCATGCACGCACGCACTACATCATTCACTCCGAAAACAATCGCCAACCCTACCTCTCCAACTGTGTCCGGTCATCTCCGACTGTCTCCAACTAACTGTCCCACAGCACGGACAGACACCACCACCTACAACGTGCCAACATCACCAATATCGTCAACACTCTGCACTATATGTGTCCATCTGAAATACACCACATCACAACATTGCCTGACCAAACTACACAAAACACAATGTTCACGTGCACTCTCTCCATCGACGCCAACACGTGAATTATCCGGTCAGAGGCATTCTATTGGACGAGCAATCGAGGTGAAAATATCTACAGATGAATGTCACAATAATCGGCAAGACATGTGAGTGGTGATCGGACGGAAACTCGCTGTTCATCTGCCGCATCGTCAACAAAGCACAGTATCGAATTGAGAAGCACACTCACTATCGTTGTGAGCAATCACACAATCAGTCAGTTCTATCCTCACCTGTCTTACACACTGGTTCATGTGTACCGCTTCACATAGGTCCCGGTGTGGCTTTGTGTGTAGTGCACATGTAGTCCCCCAATGCACACACAATCGCCTCATCACCATTTGTGCATACATGCTTGCAAACATGATTGTGCACATGATCGACCCATTCACTGAACGTCACTCAGCATCCTGTCTGTTCACTCGAGTCAGTCACGATCCACATGTCAGTCTGTTCGTCTTTTGAAATATCCTTTCAATTGTCGTCAACTTGTCAATCCGAGAGAAGATATCTGAATCGCAAGCACTTTCAACGTGCTTGTGTGATTGGATGGGAGAGGATGAGAGAATGCACACGTGAGTGGGAGGTGGAGAGAATGAATGAAGCAATTTGTGTTTGTCTCCATCTGAGATTGTGATGTGACATGTGGTTATTTCTGAGTGAGTACACGGTGTTTGGTGAAATGTGATGTTGAGAGTTGAGGTGGTGGTGTTTGGAGGAGGTGTAAGATGATGATGATGATGCGGAGTAGGAGTAGGAGAGTAGTTGATGACTGATTAGTTGATTTTGAAGGAATCCTAATGAAGTTTGATTGGTGCATCAGTTGGGTGATCTGTCGGAGTGGGTAGACGAACGTGTGTTTATGCTGTGATACGAGTCGGCCACACTGTTGTGTCGTGTCGTTTCGGACAGTCGATGTTGAGGTGTGGAGACAATGATGGCGAGTTGTTTGTCTGTCCGAACTAGGTGGTAGCAGAGTGTGTCGGTTTGAGTGTGGTCGGATGTGTGTGTGTGTGTGCGTGCATGCGTGTGTATGGCGGAACTCACTGGTTGATGTCTGTGCGTGAGTAATGGGGTTGGTGGTGGTGATTTCAAAACCGCCTGCGACCGCCGGGAGTCGAACCCGGATCGACTGCTTGGAAGGCAGCCATGATAACCGCTACACCACGGTCGCGACAATTGCTGTGCCTCACACTGAATCCGCAACTACAACAACAGACACGCAATCACAAACAAATCATGCATGCACGCACGCACTACATCATTCACTCCGAAAACAATCGCCAACCCTACCTCTCCAACTGTGTCCGGTCATCTCCGACTGTCTCCAACTAACTGTCCCACAGCACGGACAGACACCACCACCTACAACGTGCCAACATCACCAATATCGTCAACACTCTGCACTATATGTGTCCATCTGAAATACACCACATCACAACATTGCCTGACCAAACTACACAAAACACAATGTTCACGTGCACTCTCTCCATCGACGCCAACACGTGAATTATCCGGTCAGAGGCATTCTATTGGACGAGCAATCGAGGTGAAAATATCTACAGATGAATGTCACAATAATCGGCAAGACATGTGAGTGGTGATCGGACGGAAACTCGCTGTTCATCTGCCGCATCGTCAACAAAGCACAGTATCGAATTGAGAAGCACACTCACTATCGTTGTGAGCAATCACACAATCAGTCAGTTCTATCCTCACCTGTCTTACACACTGGTTCATGTGTACCGCTTCACATAGGTCCC